TGTGTGTGTGTGTGTGTGTGTGTGTGTGTGTGTGTGTGTGAGTGAGTGAGTGAGTGAGTGAGTGAGTGAGTGAGTGAGTGAGTGAACCTCTTTAATCTGAATATTGTTGTGCACTGTCAGTGAGGCAGCAGAGTAACATCCGCGTGTTCGGAGGTCGAGCAGGTCAGCTGCTGATCAGGTTGGTGGTTCGATCCCTGGCCCCGCCAGTCTGCATGTCAAGTATCTTTGGGCAAGTTACCAACCTCAAGAACAGAATGAATATTAACAAAGAGCACTTAAGCTCCAGCTAACGGGCGTAGAAAAGGACTGCTGCGGCTTTTGACAGTTGTAGAACAAGTTGAGCTTGTTAAATCTCCTCCCACTGTTTCTTCAGGCCTCTGCTGCTTCTGTGCTGTTGAAGGTGTTTTTGCAAACGATTCCTCTGCCACTGTCCAGGTTTCAGGTCTGAGCTGCTGCGAACAGGAACAACACGAAACGGTCTCCATAAGATTCTTCGTCATGACCGGAAATATGTTTGGTTTAAGTGAGGTTTGCATAGACTGTACCACGTGACACACACCCACTGGCTCTGAATTCCCTGAATGCCCTGCCCTGTTCTCACAAGCCGACTTAATTGTAGTGAGCCGGAGGGTTAAAAGGACATGTTTGACTGGATGTTTGCATTCAGAATACGTTTTCTTGGCCTGTGTGAAATAGCAGGTCTGTGCACATTTTCTTGATGGTGGTTATTTTCCTCTGTGCAGGAAACAGCCCGTCATTGTCCAAACACAACACATTCCCACCAATAAAATACCAGCAAACTGTAAGAGACTGTGTTTGTGACGTGTCAGAGAGCTCGTATTTGTCATGTGTGTAAATGTGGTGAATCATTAAGTGTTGTGTTGTACTTTATTTTTCCTCTCTGTGCATTTCTGTCAAACCTTTGATTTAAGAACTTTATCATAAAGCTCAGTGCTGAATGAATTGTTTATGGTTAAACTGTTAAGGTGTCTTTAAACCGTCGTCTTACTGTGCAGCACCTGGAGCCATCGGCCTTTCACACAGATAATTTTTGTAAGTTTCCACTTTCAGTGCCGTCTTTTGTGTTTCTTGCAGGTATTTTGCAGCATCCAGATGGAACAGTCCTCAAACAGCTTCAGCCTCCACCCAGAGGTCCACGAGAGATGCAGTTTTACAGCATGGTACACACACACACACACACACACACACACACACACACACACACAC